TCTCTCCCAGCCCTTAAGTAGGCATGGGCTGCCAACCCCGAACTGCCAGGTGGGCACTGCCCATAGGTTCACGCATATGCAGGCAGCTGATAATCATTGCGTGATCATAGCATAGGTCAGGCCTTAGCCATCTCAGGAGTTGATTATACATCTCCATCAGGTGTGATACCACGCAGCTCGCTACACTCAGGGCTTTGTGCATGCTGGGCAAGCCCTCTACCAAATGAGCTACAGCCCCAGCCATTTAATTTTGAGACAGGGTTTTACTCTCTATCTCAGGTGGCACTAGTCCTCACTGTGTTCTCAAGCTCCCAACCAGTCTTGTCTCAGCTTCCCAAGTGCTGGGATTACAGGTCTAGGTCATGATGTCATCTATAAGTTAGCTTTAGTCCTCGCTGTTGTCTTCAGCTAAACTGAGGATGCAGACTGTTTTAATTTCTTGCAGTCTTGCCCTGCTGTGTCCTTAACTGCCGTGCCGCCTCCCCAACCCCGAGACTGTGCATATATTTAATAAGATAATATAAAATGTATCACGATAGGATGGAATACGTACTAAACATATTCATTTGAGCCCCTTAAAAGCTGTGTAAACACGTTTCTTCAAACTCATCAATGTCTTATGCCCATTTCCAGATACACCTAGGACTTGAAGGGTTTTCTGTTTGATTTTTTTTGAGATTTCGTAGCCAAAGATGAGCTGAAACTCACTGTGTATCTTAGGCTGGTCTGAAACTTTGAACAATCCTGCCTTAGCCTCCTGAGTTCCGGGATTATAGGCATCGACCACCATATGTCTTTTCTCTTGTCACATGTAGAGAGAGCGCTTTGAAAAGTGGCAGAGTACTTTGAGCCAACTCATTCTTTTTCTCGATTTGGGCTCTCCCACCCCAGGCTGGCCCCTGCTGTGCAGATAAAGCTGCTCTTCTAGTCTTGTTCCCTCCCTTTCCCATGGGCTCGTTACAGGTGTGCTCACTGGACCCAGTTTATGCAGTGAGGTGAATCAACCTGGCCCTTCGTACACGCCAGGCAAGCCCTCTACCAACTGCCCACGTCCCAGCCCTTTGTTTTATTCTTTTGCATCCTTGTTGTCCTAAAGTTCCGCTGTGTATCTCTGACAAATGGTGAATTGTTGAAAGCCAGTTCCGGGGTGGGAGCTTGAGGATGAGAATTATTAGGCAAAAGGAGCAGAGATAAAGGAGAAATGAGAGGCAGAAACACAGAACAACATCTGGAGGGACGGACATTCAGTGAATACAGGATCCACCTCGCCCATTCTCCACATGCTATATACTTTACTCCAAAAGGGGCGGGGCACGCAACAGACTTCCTTAACATGATCTAAGGAATAGACTTGAGCTCCTTGACCTGTGGTCCAGGTGGAGATGATCATCTCTATACCCAAAATACTAATGAATCACCTTAGGTCAGAATCTCTTGTGTATAGCCACACTATCGTCAACAACTTTGAGAAGACAAAAATAAGCTCAGACTCTCTGACCTCCAGTCAAGGTAGGGCAGGCTCACAGCTCTGTGGGCCCTTATAGTGATTTTCTCCCTCACGAGACAGGGTTTCACTATAGCCCTGGCTGTCCTGGAACTCATTCTGCAGACCAGGCTGACCTCAGACTCAGAGATTTGCCTGCCTCCTCCTCCCGAGTGCTGGACTTAAAGAATTCCTCCATCACCACTAGCGTTCTTTACCAATTAAATTATAAAGTCCTGAAGTGAGCAGAGAGAAAAATGATCAAATTAAGGTTTATGCCCTCCTATGTATATCTAAGAGAATGCCCAGTACACACAGAGTATTCCGAAAATGTTTATAGAATGAACCGGAAAATGTTTTCATTTTGCAGTGACAACGCTGATGCTGTGGGTAAGTTGACACTGTTGTCTACTGAGGAATTCTCCATCAAGCACCACAGACCACCTGACTTCAGGGTATTCTATGGCCAGGTCTCTGATCTGCTGGCCCAGGATCCAGTCTTTCTTTAACCCTGGACTTGTCACTTAGCATAGCTGTCTGCTTCCCACCTTTGGGGATTTACATAAGTTGCTCTAGTTCTTTTCCTGTTTATTGATCCAAGCTTTTCTTTTTTTTTAAATTTATTTTATTTTTAAGAGCACCGATTGGCATTTTGCCTGCATGTATTTCTATGTGAGGTGTTAGATTCCCTGGAACTGGAGTTACAGACATTTGTGAGTTGCCATGTGGGTGCTGGGAATTGAACCTAGGACCTCTGAAAAAGCAGCCAGTATTCTTAACTGCTGAGCCACCACTCTAGCCCCATGATCTAAACTTTTCACTTTTTTTTTTTTTTTTTTTTTTTNTTTTTTTTTTTTTTTTTTTTTGCAGTGCTGGGAGACAAAGCGGGGGTAAACCTTCCACTGGGGAGCTCTATCTCTAGCCCTTATCTTTTTGAGAAAGGGTATTACTCCGTGGCCTAAGCTGGCCTTGAACTTGTGACTCTCCTGAATGCTGGGATTCTGAATGCTGGGATTACAGGTGAATACCACCATGTTTGACTTGGTAAACCTTTTCTTAAGGAAGAAGATGGTAACGTTTTCCATTCTGCATGCCATATAGTCTGTGTCTCAACCACTCAACCAACATGGCTACAGGCAATATTTAAATAAATGTGCGTGATTGTATTTCAATAAAACTTTATTTATAAACTGTGTGGCTAAATTGACCTAGGCACTACAGTCTGTTTTTTGAGGTGGAGTCTTACTCTAGCCCAGGTTGACCTGGAACACATTCTGTAGTCCAGGGTAGCCTTGAACTTATAGGGCTTCTCCTACTTCAGCCTTTCGAGTTATGACATTACAAGCGTGAACCACAATGATCGACATTTTCGTTCTTTTGAAACAGGGACACATGTGTTCCATGCTGGCCTCAAACTCACTGTGTAGCCAGGGAGGACCTTGAACTCCTGATCCTCCTGCCTACGTCTCCTGATTGCCAAGACTGCAGTTATGTGCCCCCAAGCACAGCGTGGTCTGTTTAAATAAAACTACATGCTCAATAAGAAGAATAGAAATTCAAGAAACAACTTGAATTTCTATTTTACGAAAAAGGAAGCTGAAACCCAGAGGTTGAGTAGCATGGACAACACCATCTGATGAGAACTAAATCCAAGACCTCAGTGACCAGCTGGACTGACGCAGGCCTGGGTGGTCTCACTGCCCTGCTCCCAGGCGTCAGCTGCTCCCAGGAGTCAGGAGCTGCATCTTGAAAACTGAAGACTCCGATGGAAGCTAAGAGAGAGGAGCTTTGAACTCTAGTCCATTGGTACTAGGTATAGAAACAGATGCTACTACACGCATCACAAGCCCTGTGCAGGGAAGGAAGCAGCTTCCTCAGAGAGTACATTAACTTTCCAGTATCTGGTAGGACTCGGACATAGGGTCTGGGCTAAAGAGTGGTGGATGTGAGGCTGAAGAACTGCACGGAGCCCTTTCGTGACATGCACTCATTTGGATTTTAACTTGCTGGCAGATGGGCTGCTGAAGTGTTCTGAGCGTGAGAGAGAATGACCATGTTTGCATTTTAGGTCATTTTTTAAAATTATGCTTTATTTTAAAATGAGATGTCCCATGCATATTGTACAAAGCTGAAAAGATCTTCCTCCTGCCAGCCTTTCATTTTCATTTTTTAAATTTTATTTGAGACGGAGTCTCACTATATAGCTCTGACTGGGAACTCACTGTGTAGACAAGGCTGGCCTCGAACTCACAGACTCTCTGACTCTTCTTCCCAAGTGCTGGGGTTACAGGTGTGGGCCATTCTGCCTGGCCCTCCTTCCAGCTTTCAGCCATCATCCCTGTCCTGGGGGCACTCACTGTTCTCAGGTAGAAAGGTAAATTTTGCCTACTGTTACAGTACAAGCCTGCAATCCTAGCACTTGGGAGGTTGAGGTAGGAGGATCAGAAATTGAAGGTCATCTTCAGATACACAGGGAGGTTGGGGTCAACCTGAGCTGAGCTGCTGAGATTTTTTCGATAGATAGATGGATGGATGGATGGATGGATGGATAGATAGATAGATAGATAGATAGATAGATAGATAGATAGATAGATAGCTAAAATTAGCTTGGACTAGCTGAGTGTCTTAACTCATTACTGGCATCTGACCTGAAGGTCAGAATTTCCATCACAGTCCTCTTTGCTCAGTGACTCAGCTGTCTGACTTGTCCCTTAGTATTCTGGGCCTTTAGGAAGAATGGTACCGCCTCACAGTCCAGTGCTTTGTTTTGGTACTTTCCCTGCCTTCTCAAAAGGTGTTAGTTATTCTCAGTGTGACATTAATTGGTCAGGGGATGTGGTTGGGCACAATCTTAGGGATTAAAATGGGTAATAGGCCCTTAATACAACTTAACTCAACAAAATAATTTTTATTTTATTTTATTTTCCTTTGTGTGTGTGTGTGTGTGTGTGTGTGTGTGTCTCCTTGAAAGCCAGAGGGTTTGTTGGATCCCTTGGAACTTAAGTTACGGGCAGTTGTAAGCCACTTGATATGGGTATGTGATGATCTGAGCCTCCTCCCCACATCTCAACACAATCTTATCGGTTAGGGAAATTTAGTATAACTTAAAATTTCTTTCTTAGGATGAGCAGCAATGAGAAAAGGTTAACCTGGGTGTGGTGAGACATGCCTGTAATTTGGGCTTTCCAGTGGTTAGAGGCAGACCAATAGTGAGTTTGAGGCCAGCCTGGGCTACATATTGAGTTTAAGACCTAGTAAGCCCCTGTCTCAAAAACAAAAATTAAAACAAAATAGATTGAAAAGCACTATCTTGCTTGGTGTAGTAGCTGACATGGGTAATCCAAGAGCCCAGAGCGTCACCATGAATTCAAGACGATCTGACTGTGTAGTGAGACCCTACCCCAAAAACACAGAGAACAGAACCCTACAGTTTTATACTTGATCCTAGCCTGAGGTCTGAAAAGTGAATGCCCTTCTAAAAAAGTTGGCTCTTTAAGAAACTCTGCCTGCCTTCCATATTCCCCTGTTGGCTTGGGTACCTCAAATTCTACCTGCCTTCCTGGCTCCCCTGTTGCCTTGGGTACCTCAAACCCTGCCTGTCTTCCCATGACCCCAAGCCTGTCTTCCCATGACCCCATGACCCCATATTGCCAGATGGAGCCCTCCCTTTTTATTTCCCTTGGCCACTCCAAACTTCACCTGCCTTCCCAGGAATGCACCCCACATCTCTGATAAGAGCCCCCTCCTTAGGGTACTCACATTCCACCTTTGTCAGAGCTTATGCCTTTTGCTTTGCAGGGCTCTGCCTCTTGCTTTGCAAGTTGGCCTTCTCCATCTGGCCCTTAGAACCCTCTCTTCTAAGAAGCTGCATTGACCGCTCATTATACAGACAGAGTCACCACCCTTTCCTCTCTCTTATAAAGCCCACCATCCCAGGACTCTTAGAGGGCCTCCAGCCCTGCAGGAAGCGCCCTCACCCACTCTGCCACCAGCCCTTCACTATCCCTCTCTAAAAACCGTGCTGAAAATGTGCCCATCCCACAGGTCAGAGGCTGCATCCCGTCAGCCCGACGAGACCCCATCTTTTTAGCACACAGCGCTGGCTTGTGAGGTCCGATGCGGTGCCTTCCCCTAGCTGAACTGTAGTCACCTCGGCTACTCTGGTCTCAGATCTACTGTGTATCCTTAGCTTTAAGTATCCCTCAGCCAATCCCAAACCAGAGAAATCAGCGTAACAGCAACTGCAGATCCAAACACCCACTCAGTTCAGAGGTCAGAAACTCATACCAAGAGACAGCCGACAACCTAACTCCACACCCCGACTCCAGCTACAAAAACACAAGCAATACGAAAAAAAGTCAAGACAGTTTATCACCTCCAAATATCACCAATCTTGTAGTTACTGTGAATAACTTAAATGAAAGGTAAGATGTGAAATTCAAAATTATAGGCGTGACATGCTCTAAGACATGAATAAATACTTGGATAACCTTAAAAGAGGACGGGAATAAGCAGGGTAGTGGTGGTGCACTCCTTTAATCCCAGCACTTGAGAGGCAGAGACACGTGGATCTCTGTGAGTTCAAGGTCAGCCTGGTCTACAGAGTGAGTTCCAAGTCAGGCTCCAAAGCTACAGAGAAACCTGTCTCGGAATAAAACAAAAACAAAAAGAAAAAAAAAATTCAGGACTAAACTGAATAAGTCTACATGACGGCTCATAAACATCTGTAATTCCAGTTCTAGGGGATTTCATGGCTTCTATGGCTTCCATGGATACCAGGCATGCACAAGATACACAGACTTACATGTAGGCAAAACACTTATACACATTAAAGGTAAGGTAGAGAAATTAGATCCTTCAGTTAAAGAAAATGATATTTTTGCCGGGCAGTGGTGGCGCACGCCTTTAATCCCAGCACTCGGGAGGCAGAGGCAGGCAGATCTCTGTGAGTTCGAGACCAGCCTGGTCTACAGAGCTAGTGCCAGGACAGGCTCCAAAGCCTGTCTCGAAAAACCAAAAAAAAAAAAAAAAAAAAAA